CATCAAAATTTTTTGGATAAAGCAAACATTTGGTTTGCAAGTATTTTTTTCAGCCAATACTACCTTTTGGTTTGGATCGCTGTGGGAATCGTACTGCTGCTTTTGGTTCCACTGACTATCGCTTGTGCGTTCATCAAAAGAGGGGAAAGGCATGGCAGAACAAAAATAAAGACTGCAAAACCAAAATCAAGAGAGTCAATGGAAATAAAAGCAAGAACTAAGCCTGCTAAGTTGAGCGGATCGTTGGAGAAAACAGCAATTGGTAACAGACGAGCAAGAGCATTAGTGGAAATGGAAACAGGAAGTAGATATAGCAAATCAAAAGAATCGACGGAGGAAAGTAAGCCAACTAAGTTGAGCGGATCACTGGAGGAAACCGCAATTGGTGGTAGAAAAACAAGAGGATCACTGGAAATGGAAGCAGGAAGATACAGCAGATCAAAAGAATCAACGGAGGAAACGGAAAATGGAGTCAGCAAATCAAAAAGTGGAGCCAGTAGATCTAGGGAATCAGAAGCGGAAAATAGACTTTTGTCGGGAGAGTCACTGAAGAAAATGGCGACTGGTCCTGGAAAACCAAAGGAACTGCAAAAACAAATGGGAAGTGAAGCCAGTAAATCAAGAAGTGTCAGTAGATCTAGGGAGTCAATGGAAATGGAAGTGGGAAATAGACTTATGTCGAGAGAATCATTAAAGAAATATGCGACTGGTCCTGGAAAACCGAAGGAATTTGTGAGAGAAGCAGATGCAGCACGTATTGGCAGGATGACCAGTTGGGATATATAAGGAACACGTATTTTAAAATGTTGCGCATCAATTCAATAACATTTAAAAATGTTAAATATATGCATAAAGAATTTGGGAAAAGCTTTATGGGTGTCGTGCATCCTCAAGTAGTGGTTTTCAAGAATTATTTGTCACTCGTTCGCCATAGTAATTCCTTTGCAAAAAGTATGTACATTGTTGAAAATTTGACTAGTCCCAGTCTTTGTAAACACTTCGCTTTTAATTGAGTGGAGTTTCACAAAAACCAGTTTTTTGAGCTCAGTTATTTTTCATGGCCTTTGCATGTGCAGGATACAATGTTTGATGGGAATGAGGATGTAGCAAAAGTTTTTCGAATAAAGCGCGATGCTGACCGCTTTTCAAAAATTGTTCAAATATCTCAAACTTCCATCACGCTTAGAACTTGAAATTGTTAGGAAAAAAGAGATTGCAGCATCCCCCTTGAATTTTTCGTGAAGCTAATCGATATTCATAATCCAAACTTATAGCAATACGAGCTTGCATCCCGGGTTCCACCCCTGGGTTCGCT